ATATGACAAGCTATCATATATATATATATACTAATTCAGAGTTGAAAAGCTGCCCGATATAGGAATCATTCATTCCCAAAAATATAATATACTTTGATGCCTCAAAAATTATATTTTACATAAACCAAGTTGTTCATTGATAGTACAAATAACATTGAAAATCTAAGCTTGTAAAGCTCATATTTCATACGCTCGTTACTCTTTAATTGGTATTGCACACAATCTATACCTCTGTCAAGATCAATGTCAACATTGTCTGGTGTTTGATCAACTTCATCAACCCACTTAAACTACCTGCAATCCCGTTCTGTTCAATCACGGGGGCATGTAGAAGTTTCTTCCTCAGTTATCACCTGTAAGTGGTGTATAATTTACATTATAGATTACAAAGACAGAAAATATGATGGTCTTAGTTGCTTGTTGATCTTGTTGATCAAATTGACTTATTTACCACAATCTCGAATAATAAATAAGAATTTCATTGTAACAGAGAATAGTTGAGTAAATTCAGAAATAGTTAATCAACTTATTCGTTGAAGTAAGAAATTAAATGAAGAAATGAAAATAAAACAAGAATCTAATACTGAAGGAATTGGGCTGAAATAGTTGATACGCCATCAACAAATTCTCATCATTTGACATAAATCTCGAGGTATGACACGAATCTCAAGACAATTTTTTGAGAAAAAAATGTTTAAAATTAGATAAAAATTTATACAAAACTTTGATTTCAGTAAACTTACAGTCAAATTGGTCGGCTCGACGAGACGTACCCAATAATACTAAAATTGATCCAATCTGAGTTAAATCGGACCTACATCAAGCAATTAAACTGCTTTTAAAACCTTTCTATACATAATTGGAATGTCTAAAGGATTCCAAATCTAGCATTCTTATAGTCAAATTGAGCATTTCAACAAGATGAATCCAATGACCCTAAGATCGCTCAATTCTTGCATCATTAAGACACTCAAATGTTCCCCGAATGTCATCTGATTGAGAGAATTTATTTTGGTTGTCTGCTGTAGTCGTTTCAGTTTCTTCCTTATTTGCAATCTAAACTCTATCAATAGAGCTCTACCCCCTCTTTAAAAGGGGACCAAGATTTTGAGTCATAAGAAGACAAAAGCTTGGACGTTGGGCTAAAATCCAGCGTCATTTCTGCACCAAAAGTGAATCCGGCAAATACCTCCCACTCCGGCAACTGCCACTGCTAAATCTGTCCAACGCCGTCGACCAACTCCGGAAGCTACTGCCGCCAACTTTGGCTAATGTCGCATGCCAACTCTGGACTCTGCGGTCAATTTCGACAACTGTCGCCTCCAGACAGCTCCAACCGCCGCCTCCAGACAACTTTGATCGCTTCCTACCGGCTACCATCGACCACTATTAGCCATCACTATCTCCTTACAGGAAAGTCTCTTGTGGATTCGTAATGTACATTACATAATCCCAACATACGTTGAAGAACAATAAATCGCAACGGAGAAATACGTTGTACAATACACCGTGTGACGGTACAACCTGATGATGTTGTAACAACACACCCAACATACGATGTAATGATGCCTCCTAAAGATGATAAAACATTGTGCCCCAAATATGGTGTAATAACATATCCCTAATACAGTATAATGAAACAAGCCGAATACAATGGAACAACACACCCCGATGACGATGTAATAACTCACCTCACATATGGTGCGATGATGACTCTCAAATATGGTGCAATATGTACCCCAAATACAGTGTAACGACACAGCCCAATGACAATGTAACAACACACCCCACATACGATGCGATAACGCCTCTAAAAAATGGTGTAATAATATACCCCACATACGATAAATGAAACACCCTAATTATGGTATAACAATGCACCGCACATATGGTGCAATGACACTTTTTGAAGATAATGTAACAATGCACTCTAAAGATGATTATTGTCTCAATATTCTTAAAGCTCCTTTATGGGCTTCTCCTGACTCTGACCTCTGTACCCTACGGATGTCATCACAGCTCGCCACTCTGGCCTACGTGGTCAACTACGACCTATATGTTCCGCAACTCATGTAGCTCCTGACTTCAAACCATGCAACCAACAAACATCATCACCTCTAACAACTACAACTTATGTGACCAACTCATGCAACTCTAAACTCCGGCCTCCATAACCTACGAGCGTAATCACAACTCACAATTATAGCCTACATGATCAACTACAACCTACTTGATCCACAGCTTGTGCAGCTCCTTGTGACACCTGTGGCCTACAAATATCATCACGGGTCACCACTACGACATAAGTGACCGACTATGGATTATGTCGTCCATAACTTGTGTAGCTTCCGAATATAGCCATTGTGGCTTATAAGCATCATCATAGCTCAATATATGGCCTATGTGACCAACTATGACTTATGTGACTCATAAATACTGTAGCTTCCTACTATGGCCTCTATAATCAACCAACACTCCTAAAACAATCATCTAGAGTCCACCAAACCAACTACTATGATGGCTTTCAACTATGGATTATATGACAAGCTATCACTACAACCATAATCTACAACATTCATTGTTAGCTGCTGCCTCCATAGAATTTAACTACGACCCTTGCAGCCTGCTATCATCAAAAACTACATTCTCGACCCTTGCAGCTAGAGTATGACTATTATCAATGACTCACATTTGTTCATTTACAATGATCAACTTTACAACTACATCTTCTATAATTTAGAAGATGAGTAAATATGTGCACTCACCATTTATAGTCGAATATTTCAATTGTATTAGGCCCCGTGGTTTTCTCTTTTTAGAATTTTTCATGTCAAAAATATAAGTGTCTCCTCCTAGTAATGTGCACTCGATTTTTGGGCAATGTTAAGACAAAATTTTCCAAATTTTAACCAAGATTCTGCAAATGAGTAAAGAAAGGTCAACATTCCAAATAACCTACAGAAAACTAAATACAACTTGTCTTTCATCTTGCCTTCAGCCCCTAACAGGTTGGAAGACGGATTATGAACTTTGAAGAACATGAAGCCCATTCACGAATGGGGGTGGGAGGAAGGCAGAGAAAGATGGGATTTACGTAGTCCTGGAAGGTGGGAAGACGGATTACAAAATATCCAACACCTGATGCGCATAAATGTGGGTGGGAGGTGGGCAGAGAAAGATGGGCTTTATGGAGTCTTGGCATGTTGGAAGATGGATTATAAAATATACAACACTATAAGCGCACAAATGGGAATGGGAGGAAGACAGAGAAAGATGGGATTTACGGAGGCCTTTGTACGCCGCTGCCAAGAGAAGAAGACCGAAAATGGAAGAAAAGTTTTGGGTAGTTTTACTTGTACCGTCTTCTTTGTTGATGGGGGCATCGGTCGAAGCTTTTAGGAGGAGAAGCCCGACGGAGGAAGAAATGGGGCAAGAAGGCAGATCACGAGGAGTAGAAGAGTGGGGATAAACGATAGGAACAGGAGGAGACAGTGATATGAAATTTTGGAGAAAAGCGTTTGGGTGGTAGTTTATTAGTATGCAAATTTGGGTGTTGGATAGTTGATGTTGGGTGTTTTGTAAAAACTCCTTTAAATTAGTCAATTTTTCATAAATGTGATGGTCGACTTTCATTAAAATTTATTATTATATATTTTTCTACTTCATTTTCTCTTGTGAATTAAAATCATATCACATAGAAAATGTGTGTGAGAGAGAGTGTGTGTGTGAGATAGAGTGAGAGAAAGAAATGTTGAGTAATGAACTACAATCAATCTTATCGATTATCCTTTTTTTCATAAAATGATATCTCTATTTATAATGAAGTGAGGTACAATATGTGAAGTTACATGTTTTTCCCTGTTTTAATGTGTTATATCCCAGGTCCGGAAAGCGGTACACCCGACAATGCAGGGCTTGATGAAATAGATTGAACCTGTTTTGTATTTTCAAAAGAAAGATTGTATGCAAATATTAGTAGGAATAAATCAACAAATATAAATCTATATTCCGGAATGAATAATTTACTGCTACAACTGAAAAGAAAGTAGAAATAAATGCCCTAATTAAAATTGAAATAACAATAATGAACAACTACCCAAACCCTAAAAGTAAAATACAATAACTAAAATAAATACTGAAAAAAATGCCAAAACAGAAAATCTAAAACTGCCAAGTCTCTGTTCCAATAGAGACAGTTTTATTGATGGCAGAATAGAACATGTTATGTTATTTTTCCAGAAGTGAGTTTAATAAACAAACTTAGTAAATAACAAATAATTATTAAAGCACAAATGACAAAGAAAATGAAGCTTGCAATATGAATAATAAATATGGCTGATTACTACATTCATACACAACAACATAAAGCAAAAGAGAGTGGTAATCATCAAATTGGCTTACTTATCATAAAAAAAAAACATGTAAGTGTTTTCAATCAATTTTCTTATTATTCAATTTTTTCTCATTATTTATATTTATAGAGTCAACACTTAAAACCGAGAAGGTCAATACTAACACAAGGAAACTTGATGATTTCCAATAGATTTGTCACTCTGTGGGTCTGTCAGTCCGGCTAGCTAATATCCAAAATAATTTTACCAACCTATATAACAACACGCAAGCATACCAAATTTTCTACAACTATAATATATAATGAATATGTTATTTTCATGCAGGCTTGCGACATTATAGATGCAAGTTCATACAAGTGAAAGAAAATAGAATATCATAATTATAAGATTAACTCAATTATGCAAAAAATTTTGCAATAATAAAGTAAGACAGTAAGTGATTTCATTACGAACAATAATTGAGTCATGTAACTAGTACAAAATGATAAGTAGCAAGGGCACACTTGGCAATCCTAAATAAATAGCCATGAATCTATTATAAATAGCAAGGATTAATGCACCTAACTAGGAAGCGTACATTTATCATCCAATTAAAAGCAGTTACTTAACTCGAGGCGACAAAACATGATTCTTCTATAAATTCAACAGTTCAACTAACGATCCTACATAAATGATTATATAATTAGATTTATTTATTTCACTAAGTGCAGCTAATCAATATATTTATTATTATTATTATTATTATTATTATTATTATTATTATATTTTTAAAAGTAAGATATTATGAACCTCATTAAATTTGACTTTAACTAACATATTAACAAAAAAAAAAATTTTGATAGAGGGGGGACTTCTAATATTTAAAATAAATTTTTGGAAGAATTTACATGCATAACACTTAACTTGAAAGGCAGTAAAGTGACATCTTCAAATCCTACAGGTTCTTATTTCTCGTTCAGTTTTCCTTAAATCTGGGATTTAGCCATTCCTATTGGAAGATGGTTTTACAGGATTTAGAAGAGCTGATGTGTGTGTAAGCGGGTGAGAGGAAGGAGAGGAAGGGGGAAAGATGAGGGTTACCTTCCTCAAGGGTTTCGGGTAGGAACGGCCGGAAGGAGGAAGGTAGTTGTCGCTACACGTCACGATCATGTCGCTGCTTTCCTGGCTAGCACTAAGCATGACTATACTGTGAGGGTTTCGGCCACATGAGCAGGAGGGAGGGGAAGTTAGGTGATAACTTGAGCGAAACTGCGACAGGAAACACGACCGGTGAAGTTGTCATTTGATGCCCTAGCTCGGGCGTCGATTGTCCCTAATAATCGTATGGGCGACAAGCGCACACAGAAAGAAAAAAAAGGCGAAAAAGAAATTACGTGAGTCTGAATAGAGATGATAGTAAAAAAAGAAAATTGAAAATTTTCATTCTTAGGTACCACCCTCCTCAAAAGAATTTGGTCCCCAATTTGAACAACTACGAGTACTTCGTGGTCATCTCTTCTTCAATCTCCCAAGTTACTTCTCATTCTGATTGGTTTTCTAAAAACACTTTGATGAAAGGAATCGATTAATGAATAAGTTGTCGAACTTTACTTCCCAAGATGTGATCTTGTACTTCTTCACAACTATGGTCTCCGCGAATCTCCAATGGCTCATATCGACGTATAGAGACATTATAGACATTATGTACTCTTACAAGTTTTGAAGGAAGAGCCAAACAATATGAAACACTACTGAATTTTTCAATCACCTCAAAATAACTAATGAAATATAGAGACATTATAGACATTATGTACTCTTACAAGTCTTAAAGGAAGAGCCAAACAGTATGAAACACTACTGAATTTTTCGATCACCTCAAAATAACTAATGAAACCCTCAAAATAACTAATGAAATAAGATTGAAGTTTTCCAGTCTGGCTAGAACGTGTAACTTCACGCATTGTTGAAACCTTCAGAAAAATGTGACCTCTGACATTAAATTCATTGTCTTTGTGTTTTGTGTTTTGTGTTGTGTGGGCTGAACTGACAATTGATACATGCTTGGATTAGCTCCTATCGGTACTGTATCGAATTAAAGTCGCTCCATCTCTCATGCTAGCTCAGGCCCTTAAGTGATCATTCAAGTTGCATTCATCAAAGATTTTCTACTTAAAGCATCCACAGACACATTTGCTTTATCAGGGTGGTATTGAATCTCCAAGTCATAGCCCTTTATTAACTCAAGTCATCATTATTGCTCCAAGTTCAACTCATTCTAAGTGAAAATATACTTCAAGCTCTTATGGTCAGTTAAGACCTCACAACAAATGCCATATAGGTAGTACCTTCAAATCATTAGTGTAAGTATAACTTCAGCTAACTCTAAGTGGTGTGTATGCTAATTTCTTTCATGCATTTTTAAGTTTCTATGGCCATAAACTACAACTCTACCATGTTGCATTACAACACATCCCAATTCTTGATGTGAGAATCACTGTAGATCTGAAATCCATTTATGTTAGAGGAAATGCTGAGAGTTGGGGCTATCACCAAAAAATTCTTAAGTTTCTAAAAACCCTGCTCACAAGCATTGAATCATTCAAACTTAACGGCATTTTGAGTCATCCTTGATAGGGGTGTAGTAATAAGAGAAAAATCTTCAAAAAATCTCTTATAATATCCAACTAATCCAAAGAAACTATGAATCTTGATGATAGTAATCGGTCTCATTCAATTCGTTATTGCCTTAATCTTTATAGGATTCACAGAAATTCCAACTTCATTAACAAAATGTCCCAAAATGCCACTTCTCAAAGCCAAAATTCAAACTAAAATAATTTGATATAAAGCTTCTTCTCTCAAAGAGTATTCAGTGCTGCTCCGAGATGTTGGTTGTGTTCCTCTTCATCCATTGAGTAAACTAAAATATCATCATTGAAGACAATAATGAATCAATCCAAGTATGGCTTTAAAAATCTATTCATCAAGTCCATAAAGACAACAAGGGCATTAGTCAAATCAAATGACATCACTAGAAATTCATACTGCCCATATGGAGATCGAAAATCAGTCTTTGAAACATCTTCATTCTTAATCTTCAACTGATAGTAGCCCGTTCAAATGTTGATTTTCGAAAACACAGAAGAACCTTGTAGTTGATAAAAAAAATAATTTATATGAAGTAGTGGATATTTGTTCTTCAAGGTCACCTCATTCAACTCTCTGTAGTCAATGCAGAATTGCATGCTTCGGTCTTTCTTCTTTAAGAACAAAACTGGTACTTCTGAAGGCGAAACACTGGACCCGATGAATCTTTTATTAAGCAATTCTTGCAACTAGATTTTTAGCTCCTAGAGTTTAATATTGGCCATCTAATATGGTACTTTAGAGATTAGAATGGTCCGCAGAAGTAGGTATATGGTAAAGTCAATCTCACAACCTGATGGTAAGTAGGTAAATCTTCAAGAAATATTGCCATCTAATATGGTACTTTAGAGATTAGAATGGTCCCCAGAAGTAGGTATATGGTAAAGTCAATCTCACGACCTGATGGTAAGTAGGTAAATCTTCAGGAAATATTAGTGTGATTTTTTTTGTGTGGGCGGCCATCATAGATCTCAAAAGATTTTTTCTAAGTGATCAAACATGTCATTTAAAGAATAATATACTATCTCTGAAGATATAAACATTACCTTAGAATAGATACAATCATTCAGATGGAGAATCTTTGGAATTTATGGATCTGCAAAATCAAGATTCTTCTCTTATATTATGGGTGTAAGATAAGGTTTATTTTAATTATGGGGTTTTTATTTTCTATAGGGGAAAACTCTCATAGTTAATTACATCTTCAAAGCCATGAGCCCTAAAGAAAACTCTCAATCAATGTGATAAGTCTAATTTCTCAAGACCAGACTTTCATTACTGCAGTGGAGGGTCCAAATTGGAAGAATTAGGTTTCAAAGGATGGGACTTACAGTCTGATGATGACATGTTATGGGAAAAGCCCAAACAAAATGTAGGATAAATGTTTGAGAAAAGTGTATCAAAATATTTGAAAGAGACTGACAATGAGTTTGAACTGACCAAGTGGAGTCAAAAGATAAATCAATGATGTTGGATTTGACTGACAGGAACGGTTGGAAGCCTTAAGTTGAGGATAGAGTTAGGTAGAAAAGGATTTCTAGATGAGAAATAAGGTTATAGATTCAACAAGAAATTTTATAGGCAGACTACCCTAGACTTCGGGAATAACGTCCCCGATCAAAATGCTCATGATTTTTCATCATCTTGGAAACATTGTTATCTGTCGACTATGATCAACCTCATAAATAAGAATCCCCTTAAAATATCAGAGCATGGAGGATTCGTATTTTCGAAGTAGTCTGAAATAACTTTGTCAGTAACCCTGAATTACTTCATTTTAAGTTATTCCCTCTAGACTTAGGGGGTTGCTTTGTTGTTTTATATGCCCTAGTCCTTAGCACTAACTGAGTATCTAGACTAACTTAGGCTTCTTTACTCAGACTAACATGAGGTGATTTTGCCCTCGGTTTAGTGTATAAGTTAGCTAACCTAAGGTTCATGTCAGATCTACCTAAGTTTTGTTCTCTTTTTTTTATCTTGATGTGTTTTAGATTTTATTTGAAGTTTAATATCTTAATTCATGTCTTGTTTCAATCCCTAGGTTTGTTAGTCATGTTGAGAAAGCATGGTTTTCTAATTTTTGAGTTTGTTTTGTTTTAAGTTTGATTTTTGGTGTTTGTGAAGAAAATTGAGAGGTTTTCATTCTTATTTTTTTAATGTAATCTTTTTTCTTTGTTTTTTTGTTTTTTTTTTGTTCTTAAACATGATATAACATATGAAATGATAGATATATAAAATAACACATATAATTTAGCTTTGCATTAGACTTGGGCCAAGGTTAAGGTGAGATAAGCTGAATTTCCAGCTTATGTTAGCTTAAGATTAGGCTAAGGTATGTATTGGATCAGCTAATTTGTGCCTCGGTTGGACTTATACTAGCTTGGGTTAGGCTGGGTTTGATTTGGGTTGACCCATATTAGCTTAAGTTTGATTTGGGTTGGACCCTGGTTAAGTTGGGTTTAGTTTAGGTTTACCTGGGTTAAGTTAGATTGACCTGGGTTAGCTTAGGTTTGATTTGAGTTGGACCCGAGTTAGCGTAGGTTTGGTTTGAGTTGGATTTGGGTTAGCTTTGGTTTGGTTTGGGTAATATCTGAGTTGGGCCAGACCTGGATTAGGTTTTAGGGTTTGAGTCAGGTCTAGGTCGGGTCAGAACTGGGCTATGTTTATGGTTTGAGTCATATTTGGGTTTAGGTTAGCCAAAAGTTGGGTTAATTCTAATTTTGGGTTTAGTTTAGACATAATTTGGGTTAAGTCTAGGGTTGAGTTGGGTTAGACCTAAGTTGGCTTAGGTCTAAGGTTAAGTTAGACCTAGGTTGGGTTAGGTCTAATGTTGGGTTTGGGTTTTTCATTTAATTTAGGTTTAGGTTTGAGCTAGGTTTTAGTTCTAGGGTTCAAGTTAGATTAGGGTTATGGTTTAGGGATCAACTTAGGTTTGAGGGTTGGGGTAGGTTAAACTGGGTTTAGATGGCTTTAGGTTAGGTTGGGTTCAGGTCGATCTAAGTCAAGCCCAAACCAAAACCTAATTCAAGACTATTGAGTTGATTGACCTAGCTTAAAATCAATTTAAAACATAGGAATTTTTTTAAAAAAAAAGTTAGATTAAGAGTAAGTAAACAAAAAGCTTACCTGAAGGAGGTGGCTTGCCAGAGGAATGTTTTCCTTCTTCTTCCTCTGTTCGGGTTATCCAAGGTAAGTGTCAAAGAGTTGGGATCTTTCAGAGAGCACTATGTTTCCGTTCATTTTTCTCTTTTTTATTTTAAAAGGAGTCGCCAGCTTGTCGATCGTCGCATACTTCCCCCATTCAAATAAATCTCCCTACCGAACCATATAAATGATTCGAAGATGAGAGGAATTGAATAAGAAGGGACATACGACAAAGAAACAAACAAAAGAAAAAGTAAAACGTGGAGATTCTACGCATAGGTTAAGAGTGTCTGCCCAAATAAGATCGGGCGAAAGTACCTTAAACCAATATCTGCAAAAGAATACCTACGTAGACTACCCATAACCAGAGAGTCAGGTGTATGTCCCTGTTCTGGGATCAAGAGCACTCCCAGAGGAATGTATTCCTACTGGTTAATTACATCTTGGGGAATACCCAAGAAAACTCTCGAAAAAAGGAGTTTCGTTTCATATTATCATAGACTTGGGGTATAGGCAACCAAAGGAAGGTTATTCCGTGTGGGAACAGTCTCAATGCTTCAAAGCTCACGCTAAACAATCGGGCAGAGAATGAG